AAAAAAAAAAAAAAAAAAAGAATCAGCAGTGAAGTATACATACCATGCTATTACCTATGAATTCATACATCAAGGTTGGAAATAAAATGAATTTATAGATGTGTTTGTGGGTGTGTATGTGTGCGTGTGTGGTTTGTATGTATATATACATACACATATACATATACACACCCCCCTACGTATTCAAATTCTGTTGTTTCAAGACTATTCTAGGGCCATTGTCAAATATTCTACATCCCAGTGTTCAACAAAAACCCACTTGTAATCACTGCTCATTCATCCACCAGGGTGGGCTAAGTGCCCAGGCCTTTGTTCGTGTGGACCTGGAGGACGTGAATGATAATCATCCTGTGTTTAACCCATCAACCTATGTGACAAGCATCAGTGGTGAGACCCAGCCAGGCACCGAGATCGTCAATGTTCTTGCCACTGACCGGGACTCTGGGATATATGGGACAGTGGCTTATGAGCTTATTCCAGGAGATGTGTCATCCCTTTTTACCATTGACTCTACCACAGGTACGTGATCTTGGAGTGGTTTTCATCCTTTGGCTATAAAGTTTCTGCTTAACCACTTAACAGCCAGAAAATTAGAAAAAGTGACATTTTTTCAATAATGGGAGTGTTGCAGGACTCACTTTACCTTCTAGCAGGCACTGAAGTATATTGAAAAGGGCTGAGGCTTTGTAGTGGATTAGACCAGACCTGGATCTCAGTCCCAGCTTTGCCTACTACTGATCTTGTGGTCTTTATTGGCCTCAGTGTCCTTACCTTAAAAGTAGTGTTGGCCTGGTATGGTGACTCACGCCTGTAATCCCAACACTTTCCGGGGCCAAGGTGGGTGGATCACAAGGTCAGGAGTTCAAGACTAGCCTGGCCAAGATGGTGAAACCCTGTCTCTACTTAAAAAAATACAAAAATTAGCCAGACGTGGTGGTGCATGCCTGTAATCTCAGCTACTTGGGAGGCTGAGGCAGAGAACTGCTTACACCTGGGAAACAGAGGTTGCAGTGAGCTGAGATCACGCCACTGCACTCCAGCCTGGGTGACAGAGAGAGACTCCGTCTCAAAAAAACAAACAAAAAAAAAGGTAGTGTTATCTGGGCTCTGTGGCTGACTCCTGTAATCCTAGCTACTTGGGAGGCTGAGATGGGAGGATGGCTCAAGGCCAGGAGTTTGAGGCTGCAGTGAGCTATGAAGCTATGATGAGGCCACTGTCCTCCAGCCTGAGTGACAGAGCAAAACCTTGTCTCCAAAAAAAAAAAAAAAAAACAAAAACCAAAAAAGTAGCACTGATAATACCTATGTTTCGAAGTTTTTGTGAGAGAACTAAAGGCAGTACTTTATGTAGAAACAGTTGGCCAGTATTTACCTTGCAAATGTTAATTTCTCTTTATTTGTATGATCATGCCATCTGAGGGTGACTGAGCCTCATTTTGATGTATTAATAGCTAAGATTAGTGCAAAGACATTTGTACAGGCATCCAAAGTAGATCCTTTTCTTTGTACTAGGTCTGGCATTCCCTTAGTCTCTTTGGGTTTTAGTTTCCTTGTTTTTAAAATGATACCTAAAGCTCCTTTTAGTTCTTTACAACGGTAATTGCATATCTGCCAAGGAAGCCTAGTGGGCAAGCTGTCTTTTAGAAATAATGAATATTTAAGAAGTTACCTTCCATTTTCTATTCATTAGCTTGAATAGAATTTTGTTGCTAAGAAAATAATGGTTTAAATATTTGATTATAAGAACATAAAAAAATTTCAAATATATAATATGACATTACAATACCTTTGAGATACTTAGAGATACTCTGGTCCAAAAATGAGGCTGCAAAAAAACAAAAAAAAGAATTGTTTTCTTTTGCATTTTTCCACCTGATCCAAACAATGGGTAGAATGTGTTTCTATTGTAATGATAATGATAATGTCAGATGCTACACTAGACATTTTCTGTATATTGTCATATTGGATCTTCACAACATGCTTTGTAATAGCCATATACAGTAGAAAAAATAATAGTTTACACAGGAAATCTAACGTGCTTTGTGAGTGTGCCCTCTCACGCAGCCCCATTAGGTAGAGAGCCGCTGCTTCTGCCTGAAAACTGTGCTTTGTCTGGCTTGTGCAACTGGCCAGGGATTAGTTGTTTATACTGGCAGTCTTTGTGAGGCAAAACTTTCCTTGCTCAAAATAATACGCTGATGTGGCCCCTTTAACATTTCAAAGATCAGAAGAAAATACTTTTGTGGGAAATTAGTCTGTTTAATCTCAGCTTTTTCAAAATTCATCTTAACTGAGGACTTAACTGCCCATCACATCGTCAGGCCCTCTAAGGCACTAGCATTGCCAAAAATACATAGGTCAGCCAGTAATCAGGCCACAGGATCTAAAAGCATTTAACAGATCGTTTTAAAAAGACATTCACACAGTCATCATTCTTCCCTGGAAGATCTGGAAGGATGAGCTATACCATATTCTGTTTTTAGAAGAGATCTCTCTTGCTGTCCTGGCCGAAGCCAGACTCATGCTTCCCTTCCTGGCAGCGACCATAGCACAAATGCCATTGTTAATCGTGGAAAACGCTCTGTGTGGGTCATTATCTTAGGGAACTTTCATGGAATTTTATTTTTAAGCAAAGACCAAATTTATATGGAAATAGCCTTGGGTTGTTATTGTTGGCCGTTTTGATACCCGTGTATTTAGATTGAAGACATTTCTCAGTCAAATAGTGCTTGGAATTTGGTCGCACTTAATCACAACTCATGAGAAATTCATGAGGCCTGGTAGTGCTTTACTTTAACCTTTAGAAGAGAATGAAAAAACATCGTGACTAGCTATGGGAAAAAGTTGTCCGGTGAACAGGCTGCCCCCAAGTTGAATGGCTGAGTTCTGAAAGTTCATCTGTTGGTTGACAGCAACTGAAAACACGTTGTATATAATTATGGCATACAAGGTGATGTTCTGATGTGTGTATATTGTGAAGTGATTAAACCAAGCTACTTAACATATCTATCACCTCTCACACTTAGAACTTTTTGTGGTGAGAATATTTAAGATCTACTCTCTTAGCAGCTTTCAAGTATAGAATATATTATTATTAATACATTATTATTAATTCTGTAAAATAGATCTTCAGAACTTATCCTGTCTAACTGGACCTTTGTACCCTTTGGCCAACATCTCCAATTACCCCAGCCCTTGTCAACCACCATTCTACTCTCTGTTTCTATGAGTTCGATATTTCTAAATGCCACATGTAAAAGTGAGATCATGCAGTATTTGTCTTTCTGTGCCTGGCTTATTTATTTAGCATAATATCCTTGAGGTTCATCCATTATTGTCACAAATGATAGGCTGTCCTGTTTTAAGGCTGAATAGTACTCTATTGTGTATATATACCACATTTTCATTATCCATTTATCTATGGATGGACACTGTGGTTGATTCTATATCTTGGCTATTGCGAATAATGCTGCAGTGAACATACTAGTGCAAATATATCTTTGACATGCTGACTGTTTTTTTCCTTTGGATATGTGCCAGAAGTAGACTTTCTGGGTCATATTTTAGTTCTATTTTTAATTTTTAAAGGAACCTCCATACTTTTTTCCGTAATGACTGTAACACATTTTCTATACAAGGATGTTCTCAAAGAATAGAACAAGAAGCAGTATTAGAATACACAGTTGACGCTTGAACAATGCAGAGGGTAGATATGCTGACCCGCCACATAGTTGAAAATCTGTGCATAGCTTCTGACTCCCGCAAAACTTAACTGCTAATAGCCTATTACTGACTGGAAGCCTTACCCACAACATAAATAGTGGGTTAACACATATTTTGTGTGTTTTATGTATTTTATACTGTGTTCTTACAATAAAGTTAGCTAGAGATGGGAAGTTGCTATTAAGGAAATCATCAAGAAGAGAAAACATATTTACTATTCATTAAGTAAAGGTCTTCATCCTCATCATCTTCGTGTTGAGATGGCTGAGGAGGAAGAGGAAGGGGAAGGGTTGGTATTTCGGTCTCGTGGGTGGCGGAGGTGGTAGAGACAGAGGAAGTGAAAGGGCAGGCAGGAGAGGCAGGCATACTTGTAACTGTTATTGAAAAGTATCCGTGTCTAAGTGGACTCACACAGTTCAAACCCATGTTGTTCAAGGCTCAATTGTAGTCTTCTTCTTCTGGATATTTTCTTTCAGGAACCTACATAAAGCTAGACTTTCTTACTTCCATCATACGGCTGGTCTCTACAGAGGCTGCCAATGTAAACACAGTCCTAAGAAAGTGCCCATACCATATATTTGTGAAATAAATGAATAAATAACATCTAGAAATATTTACAAAGTAACTTAAATCCTTCCTACAGCCTCCTAAAAATTGCATGGGAGTTTCATTGATATATGGAGCAAAACTTTATTTAAAATCCTCTTTCTGAATCACAACATGGTAAGTGACTCTATGGCCTATCCCCACGTTTCCTCAAAACTTTCCCTAGACTTTCTCTCCAGCCTACCTGTGGTGGCACTTTTTCTTTTTCTCACCTCCCTTTGTCTCCGGATTTATTCTATTATCTTCCAAAATAACTCCCTGCCCTTGACAATGGAAATTGTTCAAGCCAGTCTCAACACCTTTTAACTTTCCTTCTTCCTTTTTATCCTAAGTTCTTATGTAGGCAGGTTGAGATGTTGTATCATATGAGAAGAATATTGAGAATTGATGAGCCCATTTATACATTGCTACTTCTTCCTGAGTTACTATAGAATTCTCTCTTAGAGATATTTATTTGCACACTGGTTCATTGGTTCTTTCATTTTGATGCTTTCTCTATCAGACCTGCTATTTTATAAACTTACATGCTTTCTGTTATAGGCTTGTGTTTTCCTGAAGACAAAAGATTTCTCATTGATCTGTTATGCCACAACCAAGACTCATGCATTAAAAATAGAGCTCTTTGACTTACTGTGTTCATCTGGTATGAAAAATGTTTTGGAGAAAACTAGAAGGGGGTGTGACGATGTCATGGTTGTTTTCTCTTGTGGGTTTATCTTCCTGTTCTGTTTCTGGTTTTCTGGGTTTGTTGTTGGTTCAAAGAACATTTTTGTAAAATGTGTTTAGGCGCCAGGAGAGAGATACTGAGTTGAGCCTTCGTTTCTCTTATTCTTAGTTCACTGGCTTTCTTTGATGTGGGCACAAGGCAGACCACACTGTTTTGAGTTTTAAAGGGAAGAAACACAAGAGGCATATTTATTAATAGCTCTTTTTTCATGTATTTTTAATCCCATTTTGTGAATTATATGTAGATTTCTTCCTCCATTGTTTGAAGTGCTCTCTTTAGTAACATGAAAAGAGCAGTTCTTTACCTTTGGGGTTTGTCCTATGTATTCTGTAGTTTTACACTGGAAGAAACTACTTTTTTTAAAAACTTTTATTTTAGATTAGGGGACACATGTGCAGGTTAAGTTACCTGGGTATATTGCATAATGCTAAGGTTTGAGGTTTGAGGAATTCAGATCATTTTAAGGCAACAGATAGGTTTCAAGCTTTTGTGTTGGTCGTTTGTTGTCATCCCAAGCTATCTCTTTTATTCAGGCAATCTTTGGTTAAATCTTGTGGTTATCTCTTTTTTTAAATAGAAGCATGTTAATGATATAAATGCAAATCAATAAAAGTCATAAAGAAAATGTAGCCTATCTATTCAAGGAATAAATGGAAGCCAGTTCATCTATTTGATACATATTTATTCAGTGTTTATGATGCGGCAGACCGTGTTCTAGGTGTTTGGGATACATCAGTGAATAAAACAGACAAGAATCCCTGCTCCTGTGGCACTTACAGCAACAAGTTTATACTGCTTAGCCTTTGTCTGTTCTATGTTTAGTTGTGGTGTACACAAAATCCAAGTTTAGCACTACAGAAAAACAACTAATTAAAAGGATATCAAACTGCCAGACAAAGGCAGCTGTGCCTCAGTGTTTAGTTGTAATCTTTTGTTTGTATGGTGTGGGTAGATTTTAACATAGACTGTAAGTAATGCAGTACAGACTTGTTTTCTGTATTTCAAGGGCAGATTCTTTTCCAATGTTAGTTTTATGCTCAGATTTTATACCATATAATGATTCTTGTAATTCTTCATGAATGCCACCTTCCTTCATTTAACATTGAACATTCTGGTGTATGGTTAATAAATTAATACCACACCTCATTTCATAAGGGATGTGAGCCTGTTCCTGCCAAATAAATGATGACTTTCTCTTATTTGCAAGACAGAGTCTAAAATTAATCATGAGCACCTAATCGGTGTATGTCACTTTCATAGGAAACAAAAGCATGTTAGAGAATTTCTTTGTTAGCTTTTCTAGTACCAGATCACAGACTCATAAAGATGGAAAGAACCTTAAAATAAGCGTCTTCATTTAGTGGAGGAAGAAATTGAGGCTGGAAGGGGTTTGGTGACTTATCTAAAGGTATACTGTTGGTGATGGTGGAATTGGACTTGAATCTCATTCTAAACCTGTGATCTGTTCCTGTGCTGCTCTGCCTTAGTTAATAATACTTTTCAGTGTCTTTTCCACATGTAGTATTGCCTATTAAGTGTTACATTAGTTACATGGGATAAACAAGGCAAATATTTTTATGTTCATCTGCAGATTAAGAGACTGAAGACTCTAAAAGTCTTAGTGACTTACTCAAAGACACAGTAGTAAATCTGACACTTGAATTTACTTCTTGCACTTCCATTTCAAGGCTTGTTTCATTATTATGACTTAAAAAAACATGGAAGATGAAGCTAAGATAAATATAGGTTCTATTGATTCAACTAAATAAGATAGAAAAGTGATCTCTCATTGTGACAGGAATTTCTTTATGAGACTACCTAAACACCAATTATCTGTTGAATTTTACTCACTCTTTCCAATTGAGTGGACTTTTCCAAAACAGGTACATTTTTCTTGAGAATTTTTAAAAATTCTCAATATGAGATAGAATTTCAAATCCATTCTAGTTTTTTCAGCCAATACTACTTAGTCACTAAGATTTGTGTGCAAAATAAATAGCACGATGTAATCTATTTGGTGAATAAGTTTTTATATTCTCACAAACTGAATATAGGACAGACGTCATAAATATCTACAACTAATAAGAAATTGGTATTGATATCCGGTAGTTTTTGGGTCGTATCTGTTTGTGAGATAACCTCACTTATAAACTCCATATCTGTTGAAAGTCATGTTTTTGTGCTTATTTTTGTTCTTAACTGTTTCATAGGTTACAATTTTAGTAATGAATAATTTTAGTAATGATTTACTGATTATTTTCTAATTATGAGTTGCTATCTTGGTTAAAAATTCTATTTTTCCAGGATATTTCATTCTGAAAGTCAGTATTGCTTAGTTAGTGGAAGAGAATGATTATATACATACATATATATCTTTAAGTTCGCTTAGTACTGCATCTGTTCAAAAAATTTTTTCATTACAACAGTTTCCCCTATTTAAATAAAAAGTGACAAGATGAAGAGCATAGACAAACATTATATATTATAATTGCCATGTATAAATCCAAGCAGTCATTAAAATAGAAAATAACCAGTGCTCTGTGAATTAATTAACGACATTTTTTAAAGTTAATGTTGGTCCCTGCACTGGTGGTTAATTACCATTTGCAAGTGTCATGAAAATGTGAGCTAAATAATCACTGTGCTTTAAAGTATTAAAATATAGTGTCATAAATTTTACTCTGACCAATATATAGGCAAAGAGCTATTCATTTTATTTATGATTTTATTATTTATGATTTTATTATTTATTATTAATAAACAACATGAATTATTATGATATACACATACATTACACATATGCATATTTATATATAGTAAACAATTAATTAAAAATATGGGGGTTACATGTTTTCTGGCCCCTCAAATTCTAATAGAGAGCTTAGTTTATTTAAGAATGTTGGATGCAGGCTGGTCAGGGTGGCTCACGCCTGTAATCCCAGCACTTTGGGAGGCGGAGGCAGGCGGATCACGAGGTCAGGAGATCGAGACCATCCTAGCTAACACGGTGAAACCCTGTCTCTACTAAAAATACAAAAAAATCAGCCCGGCGTGGTGGCGGGCGCCTGTAGTCCCAACTACTCGGGAGACTGAGGCAGGAGAATGGCGTGAACCCGGGAGGCGGAGCTTACAGTGAGCCGAAATGGTGCCACTGTACTCTAGCCTGGGTGACAGAGCGAGACTCTGTCTCAAAAAAAAAAAAAAAAAAAGTTGGATTCAAATATACAATTACTAGTCAGTTATACTCAATAAAGTTGAAAAAAATAATGTTAGATTCGAGTAAATGGATTTTCTAGCTCCTCTTATATATAAATGTTTAAAAAAGTGAATGTTTGAAATATTCAGCATATATAATGTAGAACAACCAGCTTTATCCTAATACTTCCCTTCTCTTCTAAGTGATGAGTGTTCATTCAAAGAAATTTAATGAACCTAGATGTGCATGCCTAACATTTGCCTCTCTTTGTCCCACTTTTCTTAGACTTATAAGTCACTCTTTGGGTCAGCACATTTTTCAAAGATATTTTTGTATTTCAAGTACAATTAAGTTTGTAGGCCATAGAGTCACTGTATCATGAAGGTGCCCGTATTTGTCTTTCATGAAAAAGAAATGCTAAGGGCAAACTTTATGTATTGATTACAGTAACTTCTGCAAATAGTGTAGGGCTTCCAAAGAGATTGCTGGAAAATCTAAAACAGCCAGGCAAGGGAACATGAATAAGATGGAACTTGAGCACAACCTTGCAGGATAGCTCAGATTTAGATAAGCAAGTTGGGGAAGAATAGATAGATTCCAGAGAGGCAAACAACATACATGAAGATGGAAATTATTAAGCATTTGTAATGAGAAATGAAAATATAAGTTTGGACCAAGAAACTAAGATATATACAAATTCTACATTACACAGAGATACTAGACTTTATGCAAGATTTACAAAGGAGATCCATCTTGTCAATAGTATAAAAGGTTGATAATCTGGAGAGAGCTGCTGTTGATTTGTGGGTACCAGGATGGGGTACCTGCACCTTACCAACTACTCAGAGAACTTACTATGTGTCCCCTGCAGTCTGCTGCCTAACTGTAGGCTCATGTCTGATTTTCACCTGAGAAATCTGAAGAAAGGAATGACTGACAGAATAAAGGAGAAGTTTCTGAAGTGGAGACACACCACATTCCAGGAGTTTGTAGGTGCAAAGAGTATTAGTTTTTTCTTCTGAACATGGACAGTTTGTGAGGGAGAGCTAGTATAGAGTTGTTTTTAGGCCCTGTCCAGAAAGGGCCATACTGCAAGTGATCAGCAACCATCTGGGGCCAGTGGCATAGGCAGTAAGAAGAATTAACCAGGACAGTTGTAGGTAAAGAAAGGCAGGATTATTCGAGAAAGTATGAAAATACATTGCAAGAGTACACTGGGCAGGTCAGCAAGAAAGCAGCTGACTGTAAGGAGACAAAAGCTTGCTGGGGATTTTATAAGATAGTGCTTGTGTGATGTGCTAAAGAGGGCTTTGTGCAGTACTGATAACACCAAGGTTTCAGTGAACTAACCTGCATTTTACCATCATCCAAGTGTCTGGTGATAGCTGGGCTCAGTAAGATTGTGAGTTATTTGCACAAGAGTGCTATGTGTCCTGAACCATGAAGAAAGGCAGACTCATACCTTACCTGCTTTTTCTTTTTGCTTTTACCTGCTCCTACCAGCCTAGCTCCTTTTCCCTAATTAGGAGTCTACAGTCCAGAGGTAGAAATTCTGAGTGCTGTCAACTTTTCAGCGGACAAGGAAGTAATGAACAATTTAAATAGAGATGATTTTGCCTCTGCTAAGGCACTTCAAGTAGAGGTTAGCCTTCTCCAAAAAAGCCAGAGTCAGAAACATTCACCGAAAAGGCCACAAAAACACCTATATGAGAAAGTGAGTTGTAAACAACTTCACAGGCCAAAGGTTTGTTGATGTTAGATTATTAGAGTAGTGCTTGTCAAGAAAGAACATTTCTGGCCCTCTCTCCTCCTTTTCTTCTCCCTTGCTTTAATCCTGGATGAGTCAGAGATTTAGTTTAACAAAATGATGAAGGAAGAAAACAACTACTAGATAAGGAAAGAGAGAAGCGAACTACTTCTGACCTGTAGCCTGTGCCCCTCCAAACTTAAAAGTAAGTTTAGAATTTACATTATTATGTGGTCCTTTATATTTAATTTTAGTCATGCATTGCTCAAGGATAGGGATACCTTCTAAGAGATGCATCATTTGGTGATTTCATTGTGGTGTGAACATCAACAAGTGTACTTACATAAACCTAGATGGCATAGCCCAGTACACACCTAGGTTATATGGTATAGTCTATTGCTCCTAGGTTACGAACCTGTACAGCATGTTACTGCATTGACTACTATAGGCATCTGTTTCACTATGGTAAGAATTTGTATATCTAAACATAGAAAAGGTAGAGTAAAAAGGCAATATTAAAGATTTAAAATGTTACACCTGTATAGGGCACTGATCATGAATAAAGCTTGCAGGACTGGAAGGTGTTCTGGGTGAGACAGTGAGTGGTGAATGAATGTGAAGATGTAGGACATTACTGTACACTACTGTAAACTTTAGAAACCATACACTTAGGCTATATCAAATTTCTTTAAATTTTTTCTTCAAAAATAAATTAACCTCAGCTTATGATAACTTTTTAACTTTATAAACTTTAAATTTTTTTTAAGTTTTTGACTTTTTTATAGTAACACTTAGCTTGAAAGACAAACATGTTGTATAGCTGTACAACCATATTTTCTTTCTTTGTATCCTTATTGTATATGCTTTTCTCTGTTTTTAATTTTTTTTAACTTTTTAATTAAAAATGAGACACAAACACACACATTAGCCTAGGCCTACACAGGGTTGGGATCATGAATACCACTGTCTTCCACCTCCACATCTTGTCCCACTGGAAGGTCTTCAGAGCCAGTAACACACATGGAGCTGTCATCGCCTATGATAGCAATGCATTCTGAAATACCTCCTGAAGGACCTGCCTGTGGCTGTTCTACAATTAACTTCTTTTTTCAATCAGTAGAAAAGCACTCTAAAATAATAAAAAGTATAGTATAGTAAATACATAAACCAGTAATATGGCCATTTATTGTCATTATCAAGTATCATATACTTAATTATGTACTTATGTACATAAGCATGTGCCATACTTTTGTACAACTGACAGTGCAGTAGGTATATTTACAACATAACCACAAGCACATGGGTAATGCATTACATTATGATGTTAGGACTGTTATGACATCGCTAAGTAACAGGAAATTTTTAGCTCCATTATAATCTTATGGGACTACCATCATAAGAGAGTGGGCCGTTGTTCACCAAAATATCATTACGTATGTGACAGTGTTACCGGAATGCTGGTCCTGTTCTAGACCCCAAGAGAGGGTTCTTGGACCTCACACAAGAACGAATTCAGGGTAAGTCCATAGAGTAAAGTGAAAGCAAGTTTATTAAGAAAGTAAAGGAATAAAAGGGTGGCTACTTCATAGGCAGAACAGCCCTGAGGGTGGCTGGTTGGATATTTTTACAGTTATTTCTTAATTATATGTCAAACAAGGCATGGATTATTTCTGAGTTTTCTGGGAAAGGGACAGGAAATTCTCTAAATCGAGGGTTTCTCTTCCTTTTAGACTCTAAGAGTAACTTCCTGACGTGGCCATGACGTTTGTAAACTCATAGTGCCGATGGGCATGCCTCTTAGCATGCTAATGCATTAGAATTAGCATATAATGAGCAGGGAGGATAACCGTAGGTTGCTTTCATTGCCTTCTTGGTCTTGGTGGGTTTTAGCCTGCTTCTTTATGGCATCCTGCTTATCAGCAGAGTCTTTGTGACTGGCATCTTGTGCTGACCTCCTATCTCATCTTGTGACTAAGAATGCCTAACCTCCCGGGAATGCAGCCCAGTAGGTCTCAGCCTCGTTTTACCCAGCCCCTATTCAAGATGGAGTCACTCTGGTTCAAGCACTTCTAACATCAGTATTAAATTGAGACTGTTTCATTACTGAAAATAAGAATTTTAACTGGTTGATGGCAGCTGTGGAAGGCATAGGCGCTTCCTAAATCTTCTCTTAGGAGTAGGGGAAAAACAGCTAGCTGCACAACATAAATTTAAATTTTTTTAAAAAATATCACTCTGTGATTGCCCGCCATGAGTTGTGCTTTGTTATCATACTTGCTGCATGCATTCATGACAGCAGGAGAGCAGCATGTCTGACAGAGAGAGTATGGACTACTGGATGATGGGAAGCCACACTGAGTGGACTGGATTCTGAAGTTCAAAAGCATGACAGAGAAGTTTAAATTTGATTATTGCTGGAACTAAGGAATGATATGAAGATATTTAGCATCGTTGTGATATGGTGAAAGTGATATTTAAGGAAAATTATTCTGGCAGCAGTGTCCTAGATGGATTGTAGGACTAGAACATTTGAATAGAAAAACTAGTTATAAAAATCCATGTGTAATGAGGGTTGTACTAAAGAGAAAGCAATAAAAACAGAGCAAAAGGAACTTAAGGATATTTTACAGGAAAAGAATATGAGTTGTAACTAATTGGATTTATTAATGAAAGGATGAGTCATACATAATTTCTTAATTTTAACTAAGGTGATTGATGATCCAGTTGATATGAAGTTGACAAATGCCTTAGAAGTGCCACCTAGGCTGGGCCCAGTGGCTCACGCCTGTAATCCCAGCACTTTGGGAGGCCGAGGTGGGTGGATCAGATCGAGACCATCCTGGCTAACATGGTGAAACCCGTCTCTACTGAAAATACAAAAAATTAGCCGGGCGTGGTGGTGGGCACCTGTAGTCCCAGCTACTCGGGAGACTGAGGCAGGAGAATGGCGTGAACACGGGAGGCAGAGTTTGCAGTGAGCCAAGATCACACCACTGCACTCCAGCCTGGGCTACAGAGTGAGACTCCATCTCGGGGGGAAAAAAAAAAAAAAAGTGCCACCTAAAGTGCAGAACTGTAAATTCGATGAGAGGACAGGGGAAATAAAGTATTAACGACTCTTAAAACCATGAAAACATGAATATTTTGAAAGAAAGAGTACATAAAAATGATCTTCAAGCTGAGTGCAGTGGCTCACGCCTGTAATCCTAGCACTTTGGGAGGCTGAGGCAGGCAGATGGCTTGAGCCCAGGAATTCGAGGCCAGCCTGGGCAACATGGTGAAACCCTGTCTCCACTAAAAATACAATGTTAACTGGGTGTGGTGGCACACGCCTGTAGTCCCAGCTACTCTGGAGGCTGAGGTAGGAAGACTACTTGAGCCCAGGAGGCGGAGACTGCAGTGAGCTGAGATGGCACCACTGCACTCTAGCTTGGGTGACACAGTGAAATCCTGTCTGAAAAATAAAAACAATAATTAAAAAAAATGGTCTTCAGACTTTAGGGTATATAATAATTACTGGTGGAGCTTGTTACAAATGCAATTCCTAGATCCTTTCCCAAATCTAAAAATCAGAATGTCTGGGTAATCACCCAGGAAATTCTGTTTTTACAAGTAGCCAAAATGATTTTAATGCAGGTGGTCAGGAGATACCCTTTGAGACCCTCCAGGGAATAGAACAAAGAGCGTAGTACTTCACTAGAGGAATGCTTAGAAGTCTGAGGAGGAGGAAGGACCATTGGAAAAGTCCAAGGGATTATTAGGGAAGGCAAAAAGAAAACTGTAATATTGCAAAAGGAAAGAGACAAAGAGCAAGGGGTCATCATGGCTCCGATAGATGATAGGAGTCAGGGAACATGAGGGTGGAGATGACCTCCAGCTGGCTGTCTTTCACTTTCACCCTGTCTGTATTCTTTTGTTTCAGGTGTGCTTCTTATACACAACATATGGTTGGATTTATTTTGAAATCTACTCTGATAGTGTTTGTCCTTTAACTAGAGCATTTTGTCTGTCTGTCTTTTCTGAAGTCTTTCCCCCTTTAAATCTGCCACTAGTTCTTGGTCTCACTCATGTTGACATATTTCCTCATTTTTTGTGTGATTTTTTTAAAAATTGTGGGCTTGGATCTTTATCTAAGAGAATTCTTTGAATCTTTCGGTGAAGGTGGGTTTCTTTGGAAGGTATCTAGGTATTTGTGTTTCTTTTGCCCGAGTGTCCTAGAGACATACTTCCTTCTACCATTTTAATCTAAATTCTTGGCTTGAAATTTTTCACCTCATCCTATATTGTGAGTTCAGACTACAAACTGGTGTGAGTGCTGGTTTTTAGTTAGGAATTCTCAAAGGAAATTTTTGCCACCTCTTATTTATCACTGAATTTCAAGCCAGACAATTTTCTTTGGAATCTACTGGGGATACAAGAGCTTATTTCTAGTTTACCCTTAAACTGAAACCTTTGTGGACCTAATTTTATTGGAGAAACTCTTGTGAGATTCTCCATCCCCAGTCTACTCCTACCCGCGGTCGGCTCTGGTCTTGTCTTCTGGCCCTATGAGCTCCACAAGGTCAGTCAAAGGAAAGTTTAAGGTCACTAGGATTTTGCGAATGCCCTGAGGGCCAAAGCCAAATTCAATATGCTGCTTCTTCTCTAGGTTTCTGATATCACTTAAACTTTTTGCCTTCTTTATTGTCAATTTATTGATGCATTTACGAGGATGTGTTTTTATATTTTATGGAGCGCTTGCTTTCAGGAGGAAGGTTAGTCAGAGTCCCTAGTGCTAGAACACAAAACTTTCTTTTAGTAGTCCTTTCAGCGATGGTCTGCAAGATGGAAATTATCTATCTGTGTTTGTTTTAGTTTATACTTAATTTTATAAAGTTAAGAGGAACTTA